TTCCTTGAACGCAATGATCTGGCTTCAGTGATCCACGCTATGGTCACCTCAAGGCTAGACTACTGTAATGCTCTCTACATTGGGCTGCCCTTGCGGCAACTCCGGAAGCTGCAGCTGGTGCAAAACACGGCAACCAGGCTGCTGATGGGCCTCCCCAGGTGGGAGCACATCCAGCCTGTGTTGAAGTCATTGCACTGGCTGCCAACAGCATTCCAGATTCGCTTCAAGGTGCTGGTTTTGACCTTTAAAGCCCTTAATGGTCAGGGGCCTGTCTACCTGAGGGACTGCCTTTCACCGTACAATCCTCCGAGAGCACTGCAGTCTGGAACACAACACCGCCTGGCCCCCCCTGGGCCTAGGGATGCCAGGCTGGCGGTAACTAGGACCAGGGCGTTCTCCCTGGTGGCGCCAATGCTGTGGAATGAGCTCCCCAATTAGATTAGAGCTCTACGGGACCTCCAGCAGTTCCGTAGAGCCATGAAAATGGAGCTGTTTCGCCAAGCGTTCCAATAAGAACTGACTGCACCGGTTGGGTCGCACTAGCACTTTATTACAGGATGCCGCTGTATTTATTTAGATTCATTGTATTTATTGGAATTGTATGGAATTGTATTTTATATCTTGTATTTGCTGGTTTTAAATTGTATGTTGGTTTTAAACTGTTTGTAAGCTGCCCTGAGCCTTCCCTGATGGATTAAAGTACCCTGGTCCTGCTCCTACATTTAAGAACATAAGAACATAAGAGACGCCAATGTTGGATCAGGCCAAAGGCCCATCCAGTCCAACACTCTGTGTCACACAGTGGCCAGAAATACCAGTGCCATCAGGAGGTCCAGCAGTGGGGCCAGGACATTAGAAGCCCTCCCACTGTTGACCCCCCCCCCAAGCACCAAGAAGACAGAGCATCACTTGCCCCAGAGCCCCTAGCTATACCTTGTGGCTAATAGCCACTGATGGACCTCTGCTCCATATGCTTATCTAATTCCCTTTTGAAGCCGTCCATGCTTGTAGCACCCACCACTTCCTGTGGCAGTGAATTCCATGTGTTAATCACTCTTTGGGTGAAGAAGTACTTCCTTTTATCCGTTCTAACCCGACCGCTCTGCAGTTTCATGGAGTGCCCACGAGTTCTTGTATTGTGAGAAAGGGAGAAAAGTACCTCTTTCTTTACCTGCTCTTTCCCATGCATAATCTTATAAACCTCGATCATGTCACCCCTCAGTCGTCTTTTCTCCAAGCTAAAGAGCCCTAAGCGCTTTAACCTTTCCTCATAGGGAAAGTGTTCCAACCCTTTTATCATTCGAGTTGCCCTTTTCTGCACTTTTTCCAAAGCTATAATATCCTTTTTAAGGTGTGGTGCCCAGAACTGCACACAGTATTCCAAATGAGGTCTCACCATTGATTTATATAGGGGCATTATTATATTGGCTGATCTGTTTTCAATACCCTTCCTAATAATCCCCAGCATAGCATTGGCCTTCTTTATTGCAGTCACACACTGTCTCGACATTTTCAGTGAGTTATCCACTACAACTCCAAGATCTCTCTCTTGCTCAGTCTCTGCCAGTTCAGACCCCATCAATGTGTATTTATATTTAGGATTTTTGGCTCCAATGTGCATCACCTTGCACTTGGTCACATTGAACCCCATTTGCCATGTTGACGCCCACTCGCCCATCCTTGACAGATCCCCTTGGAGTGCCTCACAATCCTCACTGGTTTTCACCACCCTGAACAACTTTGTATCATCCGCAAATTTAGCCACTTCACTGCTTACTCCCATCTCCAAATCATTAATGAACAAGTTAAAAAGCAGTGGACCAAGTACTGATCCCTGCGGTACCCCACTGCTTACCACCCTCCACTGAGAAAATTGCCCACCTACACTCACTCTCTGTTTTCTATGAACTAGCCAGTTTTTGATCCATAAAAGGACTTGTCCTTCTATCCCATGATTTTTGAGCTTACTTAGGAGCCTTTGATGAGGAACTTTATCAAAAGCTTTCTGGAAGTCAAGGTAAATAATATCTATTGGATCCCCCTTGTCCACATGTTTGTTCACCCCCTCAAAGAACACTAACAGGTTAGTGAGACAAGATCTTCCCTTACAGAAACCGTGCTGAGTCTGCCTCAATAGGTTTTGTTCATCTATGTGCCTACTAATTCTTTCCTTAATAGAAGTTGAATGAATGAATGAATGAATGAATAAATATAGTATGGGAGGGCAACCTCCAAGGAATATCAGGGTTGTGATGCAGAGGAAGGCATTGGCAAACCACCTCTGAAACATCTCTTGCCTTAAAAAAAGTCTAGCTCACCACCTAGTGATGCATAATGCTAAAGAGCTAGAACTTCTGGCTGCCAGACAAGCTTAGGATCTCCTGGCTATTTTACACACAATGCCAGATGATTATGATAAGTATACTGTGGTATTCTATCTACTTATAAAGAAAAGTGTTAAGATTACATTTTGAAACTCTGAATCTTCCACACAAGGACTGCAATATCACTTTCTAAGAGGCTGAGCCTAGACTCAGCGGTGCAGAGGCATCAGAGTACAGATCAACATTTAAGACCACCAGGTTTCATACACATAGGTCCTCATCTCTTTGTTCCTATGTTGCAAAAGGCCCCTGAACCTCAGCAGCAGTCAGCTGCTGCAACACTACTTAATTAATTGCCTGAACAGGCATAAACCAGCTCAAAACGTAAGGCAATGTTTATTAAACCTACTCCACTCAATAATGGGTTATAATATTTAACAACATCAAATAGTCATATTTACCAATATCAAATGATGCCATAAATAACATTGCCCCATACCAGCTTAGCCCAAGTCATTCCCATGACAGAATTAAGCCAAGATCTTGTTACATGAAGAACACAGATGCTCTCTATAGTATAAATGAAGTAATCAACTACAGAGAAACAAAGAACCTTCAATATATTTGGCACTAAAAACAACTGCATCCGCAGATCCTCTTGCAGGAAAATACAATATTAATTCCATGGGAAATTGGTTTATTAAAATTATTCTTTGACTGTGTGAAGGTAAGTACACAATGCTATATATTGAAGTGTACACTGAAGTACACAATGCTATATATTGAAGTGTAGTTGTTCAAAAATAATCACTATTGTTTTGTTTATGCAAGGATAGTTTAACTTCATGAAGTATTGCTCCTTTCAGTAAGGAAAATCATCTACTCATAATATCAAGGCTTTTAACATGCAATGTCCTTTGTATGCCTTAGTCCATTTATCACAGAATAAAAGAACTCCTGAATTCAGTATTGGTTGGTTGGTGCTTCAGCTAACATGGCAGTAGTTGGATATAATCTGTTAAGAAGGGGTTGCATACCCACCCCATTAAGTATCAAATGCTTGGATTTTAGCAGTGGCCAGCAGTGGTGCTGTTGTTCAGTCGCACAGTCAAGTCCGACTCTTCGCAACCCCATGGACTACATCACGCCAGGTCCTCCTGTCTTCCGTCATGCTCCGAAGTTTGCTTAATTTCATATTCGTTGCCTCGATAACACTGTCTAACCATCTCATCCTTTGCTGTCCCCTTCTTCTTTGACCTTCAATCTTTCCCAGCATCAGGGTCTTCTCCCAGCATCAGGGTCTTCTCCAGTGAGTGCTCCCTTCTCATTTGGTGGCAAAAGGATTTGAGGTTCAGCTTCAGTATCTGGCCTTCCGGGGAACAGTCAGGGTTGATTTCTTTTAGGATTAACTGATCTGATTTCCTTGCAGTCCAGGGGACTCTCAAGAGTCTTCTCCAGCACCATAATTCAAAAGAATCTATTCTTCAGCACTCGACCTTCCTTATAGTCCAACTCTCGCAGCCATACAGTACTACTGGGAATATCATTGCTTTGACCATACAGACTTTTGTTGGCAGGGTGATGTCTCTACTTTTTATTATGCTGTCAAGGTTTGCCATCACTTTCCTCCCAAGGAGCAGGCATCTTTTAATTTAATGGCTGTAGTCACCAGCAGTATCTTTCATAACTGAATGCCTTTTCTTAGAAAAGACTGACCTTAGTCAGACTTAAATATTGTAATGTGCTCTCTTGTAGGGTTACTTTTGAAGGATCTTTAGGAAATGCAAATAGGTACAGTGTGCAGCAGCTAGAATATTAACTGAAACACACTAGATGAAGTACATTACTCTGATATTGTTTAATCTGTATCAGTCACTTACTCATTTTTTGTCCAGTTAAAAGTCAAGCTGTTGACGTTTGAAGTTCTTAACAGTGTAGGGCCAAATTTTCTCAAGACCACACCAGATGTACCCACCCAAACCATTATACTGATATCTGTGCAGCTCTTCATTGTCTAAAGCTAGGACAAATGATAGACACTTTTCCAGGGTAGCTCCATGTATGCTGAATCCATTCATCCTTGTTAATGCTGATTTTTGAATGAGCAATGAAGACCTAGTACAGGTGTGTCAAACATGCGGATCAGGCCCTCAGAGGGCTTTTATTAGGCCCAAAGTGGAACTGGCTGTCTTCTGCTGCTGCTTCCAGTTCTGCTGCTGCTGAGTCATAGTAGATTTTCCGTTTACAGATACACACCTGAACAGCATACTCAAGACTGCAACAGCACAGACATTTTGATGAAATAATTCAGAGCAAGAGGTGTCAGTTATCAGACACTGTCAAATAAACAAAATATAGCAAGTGTGCTAATGTTTTAAGCATGTTTTTATTTTAAGCGAAAAAACCCCTTTGTGGATGTGTCCTTTATAAAGTTTATATCTCTGCTACCTGGCATTACATTTTATGGCTCAGTCCAACAAGGTCTCATTTATGTCAGATCTGGCCTTCATAACAAATGAGTTTGACACCCCAGACCTAAGAAGTTTAGGAAATTTTTTGAACTTTCCTACGTATTTCTGCAGACAGGCAGATTTGGTTTTCTAACTTTCTCCTGTTATTCCCTGCAATTTTATATGAATTAGATTGTTGTAGGTTTGACTAATTTTAATTTGTTACTTGCTCCTTAATTAGTTTAGATTTTAATTGCTTTAATTATACATTGTTAGCCACTGTGTATATTTAATTGAAAAGTGGGGTCAAAATAAACAAATACAAAATGATTGCTTCATAAGTGTTTCAAACAATTTTCGTTGTGGTGATTAGTTTTCATGGCTTCCTAATTGTAACAGCTGGATCTGGCTTGGACTTGGGTCCTATGTCAGTAAAAAAACAGAGTATATAAATACCCTAAATAAATAGAACAGTATTATGAATTCTTAGCCCACCTGGCTTAGCCCCAGTTTTATATGCTTTCAGATTTAGTCATTCAAATTCCAGTAAGAATACTAAAATCCTGCAATGTACTGAGAATCCTCAACCATGCAACTCACTGGCTGACTTTGTGCCAGTCACTCTCTAACATACCTCAGTATGAGGATAATGAGGAGAGGGTATAGGAACCATATCATGCCACCCTAAACTTCCTGGAGAAACAAGGTAAACCAAAAGTAATAAATCAAATAATAAATCAGAATATGCAAAAGACATATAAACACATCTATTAGTGAGATGCTCTTATTCATAATAGTAATTTTAGTCATATATATTTAATTTGTTGACAATGCTTTAGTGACCTCCAGGAATATGCTCCATACTGGTGAAAATGATACTAGTATTAAACAGGTTTTTATAGGGGATTTAGGGGTCTCATCATCAGGATCCACTTTTAAAAAGAAATCTTCTAGAATCCAGAAGTGATCCAGTTCACATCTAGACATAATATCAAGAATTAAACAAATGCTTAGTATAAACTAGAATTTGAAAAAGGTTGCATTAATCACTGTCAGGAATGTGCAGTCAGCTAAACATCACTCAACCCAACTGTACTGATTCCTTTAATATTTAATAATTAGTTTGAATGGAAAACTGAATGGACTGTCACTATGCAGAAACATTCAGATCCTTTCATTATCTGTTGCCTGGTTTGGAGTTTTAAATCTGGAAGAACATGGGCTGGAAGAACATGGGCTGTGAGTAGATCAACAATGAACTGACCAATCAGCAACATTAAAGACAGATCTTCCCACCAAAAAGGAAATGGCTGATGTCTCGGTTTCTCCAAAGTTTTGGTCATAACAATCAATTGCTGGTTCAGTTTATTTATTTATTTTAATTTTATTACAAAAGTTGCACCCTGTTTTTCTGCCCTCATCAGTGCCACCAAGGTAGCTAATGAATTAAAACATGTCTTAAAAACCATTAAAACAAAGACACACCACTATAACAATTAAAATCAAGCTAATGTATATAATGCAGGGAAAGGTTTAATGGGAATCGATACAACCACAGTCGCTCTTGTTTTCCTACCAGCCCATTCTTTGTTAGACAGTGTCTGGGAGAAGATGGAGGCCAATGCCACATTTCCCATCCCTCCCCAGCAATAGGCAGCGGTGCCTCTAGCCAGACCAAAAGAAATGGTTTGATTACTGGCATTGAAGCAGAGAAGAAGAAGAGGAGGAGGAGGAGGAGGAGGAGATTGGATTTATACCCCGTCCTTCACTACCCAAAGGAATCTCAGAGCGGCTTACAAACTCCTTTCCGTCCCCCTCCCCACAACAGACACCCTGTGAGGTAGGTGGGGCTGAGAGAGCTCTGACAGAAACTGCTCTTTTTCAAGAACAGCTGTGCCAGAACTATGTTTTGCCCATGGTCATCCAGCAGGTGCAAGTGGAGGAGTGGAGAATCAAACCCAGTTCTCTCAGATTAGAGTCTGCACCAGTGTTCCCTCTAAGCTGAGTTAGTGTGAGCCAGCTCACAGTTTTTTAGCCTCCGGCTCACACATTTTTGTCTTCGCTCAGGAAGGAGGGCTCCAGAGCAAACTGATGCATGAAGTTGCCAAATCGCTCGCTCACAACTTTAAGGCCGGTAGCTCACAAAGTAGAATTTTTTGCTCACAAGACTCCACAGCTTAGAGGGCACACTTAACCACTACACCAAACTGGCAAACTGCAGACTAGGACAGAGGGATGGAGACAAGTACAATACTCCTCCTTTCACTGGCGATAGACAGTGACTTTTAATGTGTGAGCATAGCCATCAGTAACACACTGAGAAACAGAGAGACTAGGGCCAAACTAAATGACATGTAAAAGATCACTGATAGGATCAATTTGAAACCCTCTGAGGTCCTTAACATTCCTTAAATGCAGCCATAGGGGTACATTTGGAGGGGGGGGGGTTAACACTTTCCCTCAATGCTGCTTCCCCACTACAAATGCTCTAACTGCTACTAGCTACTCCAGAAATGATAAAGACAGGCACCATCACGACCACTTGTAAACAAAATGAGAGAAGCGTTTTCAATGAGTATGGAGAACATGGGTAAGAGGAGTTAAATCCTGCCCTCCCCCCATGACTTACAGTGTCTGTTAATGTATTTCAGCATTTTTTCTCTCTTCATGGCTCAGCTCTGAGTTTGGAGTCTGACTGGGAGAAAATGTGTCTCAAGCTTGCAAAGTGCAATGAAGTAAGGCAAGGGAAGGGTCGGTTTAATCCATTCGTATAATCCATTTTTTTTTGTTCAAACAAAGATGCTCATCTTCCACTTTAGACTTGAAAAGGTGTGATCATACATGGGAATAGCACTATTAGGCATCATTTGTAGTCATTTTGTGATATGACATGCTTTTCTTATGTTGCAGAATACCTAGAAAACATATATTGCATCATAAAACATGCTGCAGAAGTGGCAGCCAATACTTTTCTCACTTACTGTGCTGATCTCTAACCCCTTCCCATTGCTCACTTTGTACTCTTTTCCCCAAGCCAGGTATTGACTGCTGTTGTCCTAATCCTGTCATTTTTTAAGACCACCAAGGTAAGATATTTGGGGGGCGGGGAGGGTTTGTTGCTGAGCCTGCCAAAACAGCTTTAGGTCTTTTCTCCAGAATGTTGAATGGCTAACACCATAGTATAACCCCCCCCACACACACAATTTAGTAACAAATAAATAGTACAAGAAGGCCATTTCATACTTCACTCTTTGCCCTAGAGTAATTAAAATGCTGGAAACTTGTCAAAAGGAGCTCACATTACAATGCAAGGTTGTACAATATTTTGTTGATACAGAGACCAGAGGTAGGTTAGAGAGAAGTACAGAACCATGACATTCAATACTACTAATAAAAGTGATCCTTCATAATCTACAAAGATATACAGAGGCATGACCAAAGATTGATTAAGACAGATGGAGGGGGCCTGGAGCATGTTCCAAGGCACCACTCATCTGAACTATGGTGCCAGATTCTCAGCTGCCAATAAACATATGCAGTAGAGAGAGGCTACAGAAAATGAAGCCACAGAGCCTGCCAAATTATCATCATCCCTACTCACTACTAACCTTGAAATCCTCTGAAGTCCTCAGTCCTCAGAATAGGATGAGCTATCAGGATTTTATACCTGCTGAGAACTTGACTGCTGCAGCTCCTGTCTCGAGAGAAGAGAATCTATATATCTAATTTTGAACAGTTCTCTCTGAGTGCGGTTACTTATTTCTGCAGATAGGGGGCACACTCTCCCCCCAACAGGTTTTTCTACAGACTCAGGGGACTCCTCGGGTCTCCAGAAAAATCCAAAAAAGAAAAAGAAAAACCAACAACTCGAGGAGGGTTGAATCCCCCCCCCAATATTTTGAAATGGCTGCCCCACAGGGATCTACTCCAGGCCCCACCACATTGACAGTGAGAGATAGACTGGCTGATAGCCATGGGGGGGGGAAGCAAAAAGCAGGACTGGAGATTGGATTGGGAAGGATCCTTCCTGCTGTATGGATGACTAAACAGCAGGGGGGTTGAAGCCAGGTCTGAGACTAGGATTGCCTGCTCCAGGTTTGGAAATTCCTGAAGATTCTGTGGTGAAGTCTGAGGAGTGAAGACTTTGGGGAGGGGGGAGGCCTCAGCTGGATATAATGCCACAGAGTCCACCCATTTTCTCCGGGGGACAGACCTCTGTTGTCTGGAGTTGTTGTTATTCTGGGAGATCTCCAGGTCCCACATGAAGCCTGGAAAACCTAGGCCTAGCAGCACCCCCTGGGTGACTTGATACCACCTGGCTGCTTGCTATTGGTCACTTGCTACTGTTCAACAGCAGCCACCCTATAGAAAGTCAGTGTAGTATAATGGTCAGAGCTTCAGAGTACGGTTTGCGAGACCCAGGTTTAGATCCCTATCTTGCTGTGGAAGCTCACAGGTTAATTTTGGATCAGTCACATACTTTCAGACTAATCTACCTCTTAGGGTTCTTGTATGGATAAAAAGATGGAGAGAATAATGTAAACTGCTTTAGTCCCCACTGTGGAGAAAGACCATTGCTTTCCTCAGTAGAAGCTGCAGGGGGAAAGGAGACTGAAAGCTGAAGACAAGAGGGGCAGATAAAGGTAGGTTGGCTGTTGGGTGGGAAGGAGATAGGGATGCCAACTCCAGGTTGGGGAATTCCTGGATATTTGAGGGGTGGAGCCTGGGTATGGTGGAGATTGACGCAGGGAGTGACTTCAGACAGATTTAATGCCATTGACTCCACCCTCCAAAGCAGTCACTTCCTTCAAGGGAACTAATGTTGCCAACCTCCAGGTGAGGACTGGAGATCTCCTAGAATTACAACTGATCTCCAGATTACAGAGATTAGTTTCTTTTCTTTTTTTAATGCCCCCCGAAGGGGATTTTTTAAATTGCATTTTCTAAAAACTACAGAAAAAAGGGAGAGTACTAATACATACTAGAAGAAGGGGAGACAGAAAAGTGGGTCCAAGGTGTGGTGATCATACAGAATGCTTACAAATATGGCATAAACATACACTTTCAGTTGTTGACCTTGAAGGTGACAGTTAAATACGTCACTTATAGAAGCTCTGGCCCATACTGACTGTTTGTAGTATATTGCTAAGGGTGGAGTTTATGGTATTATACCCTGCTGAGGTAACTTCCAAACTTAAACCTTATCCTCCCAAGGCTCCACCCCCAACATGG